GCATTCCTGATTTCATCTTTGCATGCCAGAGCAATACTCTTGTATTTCTCCCTAGTTGTCTGTCCAAGTTTCCACCTCTTGTAAGCTTCCTTTTTGTGTTTTGGATCCTTGAAGAGTTCCCTGCTAAGCCAAGCTGTTCTTCTACCATACTTGTTAGTCTTCCTGCACATTGAGATGGCTCATTCCTGCACTCTCAGTAAGGTTTATTTAAAATACAACCAGCTCTCCTGGGGCCTTTGTACATGCCACAAAATTGGCCTTTAAAGTGGCTTAAATACCCTTTTACACCACTTTAATGGCATTGCTGTTTGCACTCTCAGCAGTGTATAGTGCTTTAAATGATTTTGGTACGTAGCAAGATAAAACGGCTCCAAGGAGCTCAGGGGCTGTGCAACCCAGTGGCACCCTGTGCAGGCAGGCTCCACTGAAGAAAAAATAAACAAAACGGGAAGCCCTTTTTTTTTTTTTTTTTTTTTTTTTTTTTTTTTTTTTTTTTTCTCTCCCCACAGCCTGCCTGAGCTATGCAGGGACCTAGTGCTTCCCTCCGCAGCTGCGGGGGGGACTGGTGCTTCCCTCCACAGCTGCAGTGCCCCCCGGGGCTGCCTGGGCCAAGTGGCAGCAGGCGGGTGCCACCTGGGGAGCACCATCCCCCTCTAGCAGCTCCCCCCACCTTTGCCACCAGAGAGGCAGCTAAAGACAAGGTTCTTACCTTCGTGTACATGCCAGAGTTTAGTTTGGTTTAATTCTCCCTAAAGTGAAGTGGTATTTTTAAAAACCCACCATTTCAATTTGGGGAGAACTAAACTGAATGAAACCCCCATGGCATGTACAAGCACCCCTGGACTCCTTTATCCCTCAGATTAGCCTCCCAAGGGATCTGCCCATCAGTTCTCAGCTTGAATCAAGCCACTCAAGAAGAGCATGGCCCCTAGTTGCACTGTCCAACACTTGTACCAGGAATTTGTCCCCAATACTTTTCAAGAACTTCCTGGATTGCTTGTGCACTACTGTATTGCCCTCCCAGCAGATGTCAGGATGACTGAAGTCCCCTGTGAGAACCAGGGCCTGTGATATGGAAACTTCTGGATCCTATATTTGCCAGGGTTTCCTTTCTTTTCCTAACTACTTCCTCTGCTTAAATGCTGTGCAATCTAAAAGGACAATGTCACACAGATAAATTGAGCTTCATACAAGAATGATAAAAATAATATACCTTCCTCTGGCATTGTTCACAAAAAAGCCTTTATGCCAAAATTTACTCAGTAAAACAAATGTGGAAAGGCCAATGAGCTGGTTACCACCCTCTGGTTCTTAAGTGGGGGTTCCTCTTACTGGCCTTGCTTAAGTCAAAGTCAGTGGACATAGTCCCTAAGTGACCTTACTCTAGGTGATACTGACTGGAGTGTGGTAGTTCAGTGTACATCAGTCTACAGTATATGCCAAGGGCAAAGAGCTATATAGTGGACAATGTCATAAACCTCAGCCCACCAAGGCAAGCTATGTTTATGCATTATTGTCACTGGGCATGTCTACATGTGCACCAGACTGAGCAGTTGTTACTGCAGAGTCATTTAGTACTTACAAGTACTAAATGACTCCGCAGTAACCTCTGTTACTGAACTGTTCTGGTGCCACACAGGTTGTTTCTGATGCTACTGCACAATAGTATTGACATCACATTTCATGCCCACTGATGCTACATCGCCATAGCAATGAGCTGCATCACCATGGTTCATCACTATGGTGGCGTAGTGCCTCATGTAGACATGCCCACTGAGTACAAAAAAGAGGATATTTTGTCCCATTCCATTTCCTAAAGAGAGGGAAAGTACGATCTCACATTTTGGTAAAAAGACTGCAAGGTAGTGCAATACTATGTTTATATGTTTAATATTAAAAGTACTCAAAATATTTACTTTTAAATTGTGTCTTCTGTTCTCTGAAATTTTAGTTTCCACCCAGTTGACATTTTGCAGCTACTTTCTGCGGCCAAGAGCTCAGAACAATTTTTGTTTTAAATTAAAGTTGAAATGTTTATATTCATAAAAGCTCCTTCTCCTGGAGTTCTACACCAAAATACTACATAGCATGAGATTAATTATGAAGTAGTGCAAAATGGTAACATTGCATTTCTTCTCACCTGACTGTGAGTCCCTGTTCCTGTCGCTTTCTTCTATGACTCCACAGACTTCCAAGTCACTTTGCCCAGAAACATGATAATTTCCAAGGTCATAAACTTCTGCAGCATCATAATCCTCTCCAGGCAGGGCAGAGGCCCCTGAAAGAGACAGGAATGAATGAGAATGAAAAAGAATTATCCACTGATAGAGCTTCCATGCCAAAGACAAAGGGCTGAGGTGCTTTCACAACCTGGGTAGCAAGACACCACAATTTTCCTTTCTTCTACCAACCCTTGTAGCGGAAGAATGTTTTACATGACAGATATACAGGATGCAATTCAGAGTAGGCTTATCACATTTCCAGTTCCAAACAAAAGGACACCTATCTGTGGGGTGGGCAGGGCAAAGGTATATGATACAGGTGTGACTGGTGAACTCAGACTGGTGAGGCAGTGGAGTGTGCCCCACAGGAGCCCTGAGGAGTGGGGACAGCTGCAGCCAGCTAGGAGCAGGGTGGGGTTTGCAGCTGGCCAGGGAGGGGAGGGGAGAGGGGGGGAGGTTTGCAGCTGGCTGGGCACTCGGGCAAGTAGCAAAGAAGCTGCAAACCCCACTGCTCCTGTCCTGGCCTATGGGCAGAAGCAATTGGTGACGGACAGGGGGGACAAGGCTGAACTCCTCAACAAGTTCTTTGCCTCAGTGTTCCTAAGAGAGGGGCACGACAAGTCTCTCACTGGGGTTGTAGAGAGGCAGCAGCAAGGTGCCAGACTTCCATGCATAGACCCTGAGATGGTGCAGAGTCACTTGGAAGAACTGGATGCCTTTAAGTCGGCAGGCCCGGATGAGTTCCATCCAAGGGTACTGAAGGCACTGGCTGATGTCATTGCACGGCCACTGGCAGGAATATTTGAACGCTCGTGGTGCACAGGGCAAGTCCCGGAAGACTGGAAAAGGGCCAATGTGGTCCCCATTTTCAAGAAGGGGAGGAAGGAGGACCCGGGCAACTATAGGCCAGTCAGTCTCACCTCCATCCTTGGCAAAGTCTTTGAAAAAATTATCAAGGCTCACATTTGCGAGAGCCCGGCAGGACAAATTATGCTGAGGGGATTTTCCTCCAAAGGGTCATAATACTTTCTGCAGCAAGGATGCTGCTACAAGAGGGTGCATAGAGATTTAATAGGCGTGGAAGTGGTACATTTATTGATAAGGGGTAAACAGTTATGGTGAACTTGTGGGGACACTGAAACTACTGCTTACAACTATGGACTGTCTAGGGTGCAATACTGCAGGAAAGAACCTAAGGGTCACAGTGGACCATAAACTGGAAATGAGCCAACAGTGTGTTTTTTTGTTTGTTTTTTTTTGCAAAAAAATCCTTTAAAATACAGTGCATACTGTATTATAGGAGCATCCCTTGCAAATCAAGGGATGTGGTTTTGCTCTATTCAACAGGGGTTAGGCTTCACCTGAAGTACTGTGTCCAGTTTTGGACCCTACACTTCAAGAAGGATGTGGACAAATTAGAAGAGAGCAATAGAAATTATTAGAGGCTTCAGAAATGTAACTTATGGGGCCAGGCTGACAGAAGTGGGGTTATTTATGGCAGTCTGAAAAAGAGAAGATTGAGACGGGGGTTGATAACAGTCTGCAAATACCTGAAGGATGGTTAATTGAAAGATCAAGATAGATTATTCTTTGTGGCTACAGGGGACATAAATAGTCAAGGAGCAATGGACTTGAATTTCTGCAAGGGAAATTATTTAGGTTGGGGATTAGGAAGAACTTTTTTCACTATAAGGGTGGTTAAGATTTGGAGCAGGCTACCCAGAGAACTTGTGGAATCTCCTTCCTTGGACATATTTAAGAGTAGGTTAGACAGGCACTTGATTGTGATAGTTTAGTTAGGGATGATCCTGCCTTGAGTAGAGTATTGCTCTAACTTAACTTCCTGAGGTCCCATCCAATCCTGCTGATCTATGCCTCCGCAAGAGAAGGTTGAGAGGCGACCTTGTGGCTGCCTATAAGTTCATCACGGGGGCACAGAAGGGAATTGGTGAGGATTTATTCACCAAGGCGCCCCCGGGGGTTACAAGAAATAATGGCCACAAGCTAGCAGAGAACAGATTTAGACTGGACATTCGGAAGAACTTCTTCACAGTTAGAGTGGCCAAAGGTGGGAAACGGCTAGCTGGGGTCATCTAGACCCAGCACTCGTTCCTGCCTATGCAGGGGGTCGGACTCGATGATCTATTGGGGTCCCTTCCAACCCTAACATCTATGAATCTATGAATCTATGGCCGGCTGCAACACACACCACCACCCAGCCCCCACTGCTGGCCAGCTGCAAATGCTGCACCCCGCCCCACCCCAAAACTCCCATGGGGTGCTTCACCGCCCCACCAATCTGAGTTCACCAGCCGCACCTGATATGATTGGGGGGGCAGTTTCTAACTGTTACAGTAAATAACAAGTGTTACTGCCCCAGAAATTAAATGTAAAAGGTAAAGCCACAGCCTCCTAGCCCTGCCAGTGCCCCTCACTTCCAGCCCATCCCCACCAGGCCTGTTGGTGCCCCTCACTCCCAACCCTCAGCCCCCTGGTGCTGCTAGTGCCCCACACTCCAGACCCACAGTTCCTCTTCTTCCTCCATCCCTGCCAGTGCCCTGACTTCCAACCTACATTCCCAGGGCTGAAATGTGATGGCTGTGGCAGCTCTGACTCGTGCAGGCAGTAGCAGAGCAATTTTGGCCCTGGTGCAGGCTAGAGGGAGAAGGAGGGTGGGCTCCAGCACTGGGGCTCCTGCTTTGTGCCAGGCAGCCCGGCCATGGTTCCTGCCCCCAGGCAGCTTCTCCTGGCCACCCCACTCATGGGCATGGGACCTGGTGCTGCCAGTCTAGCCATGCAGCTCCCCAATGCCCCCAAATGCCCCCCGCAACTGCTTCCCCACTGGAGGGGCAAGCACCTCCCCCTTGCTGCCCCTGCCCTGCCACAGACTCAATGCCCAGACACCTTACCCCAGCTCCAGCAGGCATCTGCCCTCTCATACACCCATCCCTTCCACACACCTGTGCCACACACACACACACACACACACACACACACACACACAGTCCCCCAGACAGTCCCCCAAGCCCTGGCCTTTCAATCCCCACTACCCATCAACTTACCTGCATCCAGGTGCCATGTCTGGTCCCAGCACCCTGCTTGGCTGTATGCCAGCCAGGTGTATGTGTATGCACAGATGCACATGGCACCCCCTGCCTCCAACTGCCCAAAGCAGCTCCTTGCAGGCTGGAAGGCTGCCAGCCTGCAAGGGGAAACCCATGTTTCCTCCTTTAAAGAGGTCAATGGACAATCCGTTTTTCCATAGCAAATGGAAAATCCAGGTCTCTGGTAAACACTCCCACCACTAGGGCAAGCCAGGAAATGCAGTTCTACCAGCATCAATGTTGAAAAAGGACTAGAGCAAAATCCCAGACATTTGTTCATATTTCAAAAAACAGCCTGGACAGAGATCAGAAGACCCAAAAAGAAAACATGTTCAGGAAAACCCAGACGTATGGTAACCCTAGTTAAGAGAATGTCTATGTCTTTTTCTATAGAGATACAGTAGAAACCCAGATGAAGGTGTGGGACATCTGGAGAAAGGTGTCTATGTGATTTTTCCTCAGTTCACATTCTTGCACTGCTGGGTACAAAGAAAAGTGACCCTTAATTTGCTGTATTTATCATGTACTTTCCAGAATTTTTTAAACATCTCACTTTGTTAGGATACCTTTCCCTAGAATTGTCTGGCCATTGCCTATCCCAGTCTGCAGTCATTGGCAGTTGCACCAGCAATTCAGGCCAAGATAAGGGCTTTTGGATGTACAGTCTACCTATTCTCCACCCCGTCACACTACATCCGAGACAGATGCCTGAATCTACCTAGAGCAATTTCCTTCCACAAGTGAGAGTAACACTAGCATTCATACAAAAGTGGGTCAGGGAGCAAGGCCAGGTGCAGTGTGGGCAGGAATTGAACAGCTTTTTCTAAAACCAGGGTAGCCAGCCTGCAGCACTCATGCCACAAGTAACATGAGCAGCTGCTGAGTGTCCCATGTAAATCTTGGATGCACAGTAAAGGAAGGTGCCAGAATGGAAGACAGGAGAAGCACAGTGTTCCATGGATAGGCTTGGCAGGATTTGATTTTATCCATAAACATCAATTGCACCTCACATTCACAGACTGATAGAAAAATATTTCCATTGATAATAATCCAACTTTATAGAATGAGGACTGTAACAGAGGACCCTTACCCTGTTACTGGACAGTGGAGAAAGAGAGACACTCATCTATTAAGCAATTAGCTGCTCATTTATAGGTGTGGGAAGCAGGCTGGAGGGATATAAGAGTCTGCTTAAACAAGCCCCTCCCCAAAGCCCAGAGCAAGGAAAGGGGAAGGCTCCAGCCCAGTGGCAGCCCAGGCCTGCCAGCTCAGCACAGCAGGCCAAGAACAGCCACTGCTGCCTCTCCCAATGTTTCCAGAGCTCTGGGAATGTTGCTGCACTCCTCTTCTGGTCCCTGCCAGCCCAGTGCTTTTCTGATGAATGAATAGAATGATTTAAAGCAGGTATGCTTTATTGATTTATAGATATTTACTTTTTATACTTTGACATATGATTTTTATAAAGCTTTTACAGTATACTGTCATCACTAAATTGCCTACCCACAAGCCCCTAATCCCAGGAAATCCTGAAAATGTAAATTTATTAAAATCAAAATAAGTGCTTAAAAATAAACATTGGTTTTAGCTGGTGAAAGTATTAAAAAAAAATAAAAATCAAGTTCTGCCAACCCTATCCATGAAGCAGAGCAAGGGCAGTGTGTGTGAAGAAATCCCCTTCTCTCCATCCCTGGATGGGGACATTCCAGCCACCCCTCTATTTTAACTCTGGCAGCCTGGTTCAACCTGGTCACCCAGGCAACAGGGCTGTAAAAATAAATTCCTGAGTGGAGGGGAACTGCCTCTTTCTTGCTTATAAAAAAGGGCCACTGAGCCCATGTTTGTATGACCCAATTTATTAGAACTTGCTCAAGGTGTTTTTCTCTCTTTCTGTTCTCTCCCCCAAATCAGTAAAAAGCTATCTGGATACAGCATGCCTGGCTGTGAATTCCTTAAGGGAGAGACAGGCCTTTTTGCTCCCTTTGCTTGACAGGCTAAGGTGGGCTTGGCTTTTTACTTTCCTCTGGTGCAGGAGGCTACCTTTGGATGCTTCAGGCTAAAAGAAGCACCCTGAAATACCACTGTGGGCAAAGCACCCCCAAGGCTTGTAGGGTCTGTGTACCCTAGGCTGCACAGAGCCCTTACAGAGACCAGTGCTCGGATGGTGGCAGCATTACCCCAGGCTTGTGGTTGTTCTCCAGGAAGGGGGATGGCTCCCCAGGGGAGACTCCCAAAGCGTGGTTTTGGGCCTGGCACAGTGAGGTGGGTGGCTCTGCATAGTAGCACCCCCTACTGTGTCACCACAGTGTGCTACTGCAAGACAAGGTGTCAGGTGTCACTGCCCATATCTAGGCTAACATTTTCCTACCATATCAAACTGTGGCAGTTGTGGAGCCAGAGAAGTGTTTCTCTTGGTGGGCAAATCTCTCTTGCAGCAGCCTGCCTGCATTATACTCTAGCTGGATTCCAGAACCCCCAAGGTGCAAAATCTATCAGGTATGCCTCTGGAGGAGTAGGAATCAGAGCAGAACTCAAGGTGGGTGCAGGGGTTAATTTGTGGCACAGCTGCCACAAGGGCAGGCCACTACTGTTCTAGAGCTGCATGACTCAATAGGATTGCTTGAAGCTTGGCATCTCCTAGGGAGCAGGAAAAAAAAATATTCCAATCTTTCAACTTTGAAAAAAATTGAAATGTTGGTATGTTTTTGGAATAAAATGAAAGGTTTCATTTTGAAAGCAAACTGGAACAGGTAAATCCTCATGTTGGCTGACTTGCCTAGGCAGTGCGAATCCCTGAATGGGCAGCCAGCACCCCAAAAACCTTGCCAAACATCTCTCTCATTCCCAAAATAGTTACCTCCCAGACTGCCTGATTTCTTGGGCAGCTGCCTGTTAGCAACTGTTTATTATTATTATTGTTATATTACATTTCTTTTTCTTCAAAAAAAAAAACTAATGAGCTGGTGCTTCACTTAGTACTAAGAAGGTAAAGGGTATTTTGAATAGTTATGTTAAATAAGAAGATAGCTGGGATTTCCCTCCATTCTAACGGAAGAGCAGGAA